TTCGAGGGTGATCAAATGGAGTTTAATTGGTTAACCGTTATGGCTTGAGAATAGAGGTAATACATTACTAACTTATGTATGCTTTTATGGAACATGTTGGCATTGGTTAATGCGTAGACAAATATGTTTGGATACATGTGTGTAATTAATATATTCTAAATTCGATCCAAATGAGATGAAAAGTAATTAAATTGAATAAGACTCAGATTACATGTATAAGACACTAGAAGATTGATAAGAAATAATTTCAGGTTCAGTGATTAACCGATAAAGCAATCAACCTCAGAATCTTTAAATTCTAATTATTTTCGTTAAAAGTTTTAATATTAGAATCACCTGGTTAAGAAATTACGAAATTACCCCTATGAGGTAAAAAAGGTATGGACTAGACCTCATAGTGGAAGTACCCTGAGAATTCGTATTTAATCCGATAAACTGATGACTCACCTGTTAAATTCCTAATCTATTCGAAAAGTCACTGATAATCAGATCTTAAAATCCGAGAAGGTACAAGACTTAGAATTGTTGATTTATCAACAAATACGTAAAGGCTAAAACACTATAACTATTTATATTTGAATTGCTCAGAAAAATTGAATTAAATGGAAAGAATGTATTGAAGGAAATGACCAAAATACCCCTGAACTGTAAAATGAACCAAAGTATCTCCAATCCCTGGAATGACTGAATACCCTTAAGCTCCGATATGAATAAATCACCTTCGAATACAAAAATGACCTAGAATTTCTAATTACTAAGCTAACACCCGGTGGCTAAATTACTAAAAGTACTTTACACGTTAGAATTACCTCGAAATAACTATATTATATGACAAAGTTGAACTGAATGAAAGTATTGTACGTATCTTAATTGTTTAAAATATCGAATTATTGTGGAAAGTCCAAAATGATCGGGATAAACTTGAATAATAAATTACCTAAATACCCTCTATGACCTATAATTAAGTGGATGACTTGGGTAAGTCTGTAAACACTGATGAACTTATATGTTGTACTGTCTATAAGGGTTTTGAACCACGAATCAAGCACGTCAACATTTCTTGATACCGTGCAATACAGAAATGAAATAAATACCATTAGAATATATGTTCGTCTCTCTAAGATCCATTCAACGATGATTCTGAAGATGATTAGTTCGACTAGTGATGTAAGTATTAAAGTGTGAATATCCTGATAAATCGACATGAATCTTAAATACCATGAATCATTGTTTCACCCTTATTAGATTAAATTACTTAGAATTCTCCAAGAATCAAATGTCCAAAATGCCCCCAAATTCCTGAATAATGGAACCACTCATGTCATATCTGAAATCTCAAGTAACTCTGATGCAAAAGATTCTAAATATTGTCCTGATTACTTAGGGCCTTCGAAAAATACTTCCTGATAAATTACTGACTGAATGACTGATGAATCTGTTAGCCATCAAACCCCTTTTTCATAAGGATCTCATACTGAAATTCAATCAGTTTACAAAAATTTTGTGACTCTCTACCTGATAAATACCAAGTACCCTCGGAAAAATAACTGAATCCTCTAGTGTGTTCCTTATGTTCTATATGATTATTTTATCTGTCCTGAAATATGATTTACCGAAGTTACTACTTTATTGAATCTTTTAACTGTTTGATATTCTAACTTACTGGTGTATTGAATTACAGTTTATGAACTACGTCTACTTGAAATGTGTTCTCTGGTTACATGTTTTCACTGGAAAATATGACCGTTCCTGATTTATGGATCATGGAATCTACTGGTTACTACTTGAACTGTTTTATTGGGACACTATCTGGGTAGGCTGGAGTATGGAGGTTTAGCTTTGATCAAACTGGTAATTCCTTACGGACCTAAGGTATTCCTTGGGTAGGCTCTAAGGCCCCAAGTCACTCCCTTAGTATGGAGATTATATTATGGTGTACGAATATAGGGCATTCATGTGATTTAAATAACTACATAGTCACTTTTACAATATATTACTGGATCATGATTTTGATATTATAGGGTACTACTAAATCTGATTTGTAATGGATACTGTATGAGTACGAGTTTAGAGTATGGAGGTTCAAATCTGATCAAGCTGGTAATTCCTTACGGACCTAAAGTGACCATTGGGTAGGCCCATAAGCCCCAAGGTACTCTCTTAGGGTGGCTCCTTTGCTTTTTGCTTAGGGTAAACCCTTATGGATGCAGTTCTGGTGGACTGCATAAGGAGTATTCGGATGGAGGATATTACAATGATTTTAAAATTTTTTTACTGAAATAGAGTACTACTATTTTTAATGTATGATTTTATTTATTCTAATTTCGTGGGAATACACTAGATATCCAATTATGATCTCCTAAACCTGGTCTTCTGAACGTTTCCTATTAACTGGAAGCTTCATGTCTTTTACTTGAAGAAATATCAGTGGAACCTTAATTCATCACAAAAACCTGTAGAAGCCCGAATCAATAAGGAAATTTTTATGCTTGTTATTATCTGAATGTTCTTCAGCATCACTTGGTTGTTATGTTTACTGAGCTTCTCAAAGCTCACTCTTATACACTCCGTTTTAGGTTAAAAGAATTGATCCAGTGCAGCTATGGACATATGTAATTAGGAGTTCCTTTGGCTTGGGTTGAAGAGTACGATACAAGTGTAATTAAGGGGAATGTAGGTCACATTTGATTTTTATATTGAGTCTGAAACTTGTATGATTTTAATTCCGTTTGAGATATATGAATGGTTTTCTGAACTTGTATTTCAATTACAAATTGTTTTACGATTTTATGCGTTTTAACAAAAACTTTAATTTTTCATGGATTTTTTCTGTGGGTTTCTCCGGTGGCCCTAATGTGACACTTTGGATCAGATCGGGTCACCCGCATCGGTCTAACGGTGTTACACTATTCGTGTTTAGAATCTACGTTGCTGGTGAGAGAGTCTACCACTGCACCCATTTAGGTTCTAACCTTTTTTTCGAATTCAAAAAAAAAATATAGGTTGGACCAATATAAACATAACATAAATTTTATCTAAAATAATTTATATATATTTAAAAATATAATAAAAATTATATATATATATATATATATATTTGGATTATATCTAGAAGAATATATTAACTGGACCAATAAAAGTTTTTTAATATAATTATTTTTAATATACATATATATATTTTATTCAGGGTAAAGTAATTATTTGGTCACCCACATATTACTTAATTTATGTTTTGATCATTCAACTTTCTTTTTAAATTATAGCTATCCTTACGATTTAGTTTTATTTTAATCACATACCGTTAAAAAAATTAAGAATGATGTTAACATGTCATTTTTAAATTATTTTTCAATGATGATGTGACATTATCTTATGATGATACGTCAACGTTACCACTAAGTTTTTAAAGAAGAGTGACTAGAACAGAACCAAAATATATTATTAAGTGTAGTTTAAAATAAATAAGTGTTGAGTGACTAAAAATATAAATTAAATAATAAATGGGTGATTGAATAAGTAATTAAATAATATCATATGAATTTCCAGGCTGGTTAACCGGGATTAGAACTGCCATAAATTTGCTTAACAAAATCTCTTGATTTTGATATCCCTCATCGTCAACATGCAATTATATGTATGCAGGTTGAACTTATTAATTTTTCTCCTGTTCTGATATAACCTTGATCTACTTAGAGGGTTGTGATAAATGAAAAGTGATGAGAGATTTTAAGGGAAGTGCAGATGAATTTGCAATTGGAGATGCTGGTGGTGTTTCTTGACATGATTGCTGTGATTCTTCTTCCTTTTCATTTCCCTTCATGAAATCCACACACACATATATATATAACCTATCAAATGACCTATGAATGTTATTCTCTTCAGAGGTCTTGAGTTTAATTTGTTTTTAGAGGTATTGAGTTTAACTCGTTGCATTTATAAGGTGTGTATACCTTATCAATTGATTATTAACTTGTAAAGGTCCCTAAATGTATGTTCAATTAATCTCTTATCATAATGTTGTGAATAAAATAAATTAGATTTAAAAGGAAATCATAATAAATCTTTGTAAATTCTAATTTAAATAAAATATGAATAGTTATAAAAAAGAAGCAAACCTCTAATTAGATAGATCCACCAATTATAATGTTTACATTTAAATTTAATATAGTTATGGAATGAGTTTATAGAATTTTTTATAATTAATATACCAGTAAATAATTTTTTTTATCAAAATAGTTGTATTTTTTTTTATTTTCTTTTGGTAAAAACTCAAAATCAAAACATTCCCATTGATTTCTGCGATGCTTTAGAGTTTAGAACATATACGATAGAATAATTGATAGGATTATGAATTCAATAGAAAACATGGGTGGACACATTTGTAAGGAAAGTTGTTGGTTTTAAGATCATGATCAGACATTCATCCATGAAATATTTTAATTTTGTTTTTATTAAAAAGAAGGTAATCCTTGCCTAATCACTTATCTCGTATCAGACGGGGCCAGATATCAACTCAAGAAGATAAAATAAAATTTACTATAAAAAATAGAGAAGATAAAATATAATTAACTATAGAAAATAAGATAAACAAATTCAACTTAACTAAAATTAAGAGATATAATTATAAAAAATTAAGGGGCAATGGGCCAGGACTAAGCATAGCTCCGTACCAACAGTTGGTGTAGACATCAACATGCATCCCTTGCATCAAGAATAGCGTAAAAACACAACCCAGAGACCTCATATCAATTAATAAGATTATCTTTTTCTCTTACCTTAAAAAATGGATAATATCTACAATCCTTTGGAGATTTTCTCAAGACATATCACAGTCCACCCATACGAAGTGCAAAACAAGGCTTCCTTGTACAAAATGAAGAATGAGTTGCCCTTGCTGCAGGCTTAAATAACGCCTCCATCATTGCTAATACAAAATACATGTAGAACCAATCGAGTAAAACCAAAAAAATAAAAATAAACAAATTCATTAACAACCCTATCATTTTACACGATTCTCGCATTACATGCCTTTTCTTTTTTTTTTTTTCTTAGATAGAAAATAATAACAAAGCACAAAACAAATAAAGCAAATCACAAAGACGCTTAAGTTATTACAAAGGGATGGTCAGATACATTTATAGCATGAGACTTGCAACAAACAACTACACCATGACAATGTTCATCTAGGAAGAAAGCTTGGAAACATCCTTACATGATCTATTGTACGTTATGTGGCTCTTAACTAATTGACCCGCTGCAAGTGCCGACATGAGTGACACCTCCCCCGCAAGGACCGCACCGGCTACAATGGTTGCAAGCATCCTAGAGTTTGCTCCAGCCACCTCTTTGCTCGCACCTTTAACCCCCAGCAGGTTCAAACACGCTGACTGCGATGCAAGCTGAGTTCTACCACCAACAGTGCCAACCTAAACAACAAATCACACATCAACCATCATAAAATTAGACTCCTACTGCTTCCATGAACTCTCTCCACCTGAATCTTAATTAACCTAAACCTGCAGTGACCCAAAATGATCCTCTCCAAAACATCCAAGCCTTAAAACTCAAATGATCCAATCCCAAAACGATTCAACCGGAAATGACCTGAACCAAAATAGACAATTTTAAAAATCAATTACCTCGATGGAAGGCATTGTGACAGAGACGTGAATGTCCTTTCCATCATTAACAGGTTCCATCATCCTGATGCAACGAGAGCTCTCGACATTTTGAGCCGGATCTTGGCCAGTAGCTATGTAGATTGCAGTGACAATGTTAGAGGCATGGGCATTAAATCCACCCAGAGCTCCAGCCATGGCAGAACCAGTAAGGTTCTTAAGCATGTTGAGCTCCACGAGAGATTCCACACTAGTCTTCAAGACCTTCCTCACCACATCACCCTTAATGATGGCCTCGCAGACAACAGATTTGCCTCGTCCTTCAATCCAGTTTACCGCCGGCTTTTTGTCGGAACAGAAATTTCCTAAATCCATCACGGATCTCTAAAATTGAGTTATGAAGCTCAACAAAAGAAGAACAACATAATTATAAGTAATAAGCAAATGAAGCTTACCAGAAATGCCGATGACATCCATATCAGGAAAATCAGTTTGAAGGAAATCCATATCGTTTTGAACTCCCTTGGAAACCATGTTCATCCCCATAGCATCACCGGTACTGCAAGTAATTCTCAAGTATAGATTCTTCCCAGCAATTGCACATTTTATGCTTTGAAGCCTACCAAATCGACTTGATCTGCAACCGCCCAGAAACTCAAAATTTTCAGAAAAACCAGTACAATTAGCTAGAATTTGAACTGCTCAATCTGAAATCCAAAAATATACAAACCAACCTGTTAAAAACAACAGCCAAAGTATCGAAATTGTCAGGATCTTCCAATTAAAACTTCAGCTCAGCTGCCCTTTTCGCTGTGCTGAACCTTACAACAGGAGCTCTAGTCATGCCATCTTTCAATATAATACATGTAGCTCCACCAGACAAATGAATAGCTTTACAACCCCTGTTAGTACTAGCCACCAAGCACTCCTCCGTGGTTGCAATAGGAACTGAGAACTCTCTTTTATTAAGCAACAGTGGCTCAGCGATTCCCACGGGAATCTGCACGTACCCAACAGGCATCTCACAACACTGCCCTAAAATGGAATCGTAATCAAATCCATCCAGTGGCAAACCCGATAGTGATTTCCCCGTTAATCTCTGCAGCGCCTCACGCCTGATCGCAGCGGCTCTCTTGCAATCACCTAACTTTGATTCTAAAGAATAGGAAGGGAGTGCTCCAGCAACTACGGATGTAATTATTTCTTCGTCTTCTTCGGTTCTAACAACAACAGGCTTTTCATCTAACAGTTTCTGGGTAGATACAACCGGTACTCGAGGTGGCAGTAAGGAAAGCGAGCAAACAAGAGCCTGCCCGCCAGAGATTTTACGAGTATCTTCCTCTGTTGTAACTCTAACAGGCATTTCGTCGAACAATTTCTGGGTTGTTACAACCGGCGCCATATGAGCCATCGAAGGAAGCGAGTCATCAAGAGCTTGGCCGCAAGGGACCGTACGGGCATCTTCTTTACGAAGAAAGATTCCATTTTCCTCTTCCTCCTCCTCCTCCTCGGCACTCCAAACTTCACCAGAAGGTCGGAGAATCAAAGACTGAACAAAGTCGATCCCGAAGAACCCCACAAGATAAATCAAAGAGGCGACTAAAGCGAAAATCGCAACGATCTCGGAAAAGGTGAGGAGGTGGAGGGGAATTGAAGCACGGATCTTTTCGCGCCAACGTAAGAGGAGAAAGTAAACAACGGAGAAGAAGAGCGTGAAGAACACAGCATTCGTTAGATACAACGGAAGAGGTAAAGCGTCGGAGGCTTTGGCAGTATATTCCCCTAAAGGGATCCTCTTTGTTGGCCTTACAGCATGAACCCGTTGACTCGCTGTTGGCCGGCTGGCTTCCATTACGGACTGCGTTGGCAACAGAAGCCAGCGGAGGAGGAGGAGGGAGGAAGGAAGTCGTGGGAAACGGTCAAGGTTCGTGTTGGGAACGGTTTCCGAGGACGTTGAGTAGGTGGGAGAGAGTTGGGGGGAGGGAAGCAAGTTTTTATAGGGTTGTTGGGGGAGTACACGTGTGGAACAATGAAAGAGAAAGGGTGGAGTGGTAGCGCGTGAAACAAGAGGAGAGATGAGAAAAGGAGCGTGGGGGAAAAGAGACGGCAGTTGGCACGTGTTGATGAGTCAAAAGACAAAGGAGTTTAGGTTGTTTGTTTTTGAAGGGTTTGTATAATGAAATGTGGACTAATATATTGTTAACAAATTGTGTATTTAGAAATTTAATAAGATATTTAATAAATTCGGTTAAGTTTACTAAAAATATTGACTAATAATAATATTGTAGGTGAAAAATATGAAAAATTATTAAAAAAATTTAACAATCGATAAACTTTACTTATCGGTAAGTATTAATACATTGCACAAAAGTATCAATATATATTGTTATATATAAGAAAGTGAAGAAAACCGGTTAAAAGTAGACATGTATCAATACATTTATAAGTATATGTATAAGATACTTTAGTAATTTAAAATAATTGTAATAAAATCACCTATAAAGTATCGATACCTTACATATATGTATCGATACATGACAATATAACATGTTGAAATATGAAAAATCTGGTTTCAAATTGAAAAAGGAGGTAACGAATTTAACAAAATTGGTTGGTAATTGATAAAACTAGTTGAAATTTGATAAAATCGGTTTAAATTTGACAAAACCGGTAAAGAACTATCGAAATTGTTGAAATTTGTATCGATACGTTTATAAATATATGTACCAAAGTATCGATACTATAGGAATTTAAAAGAATTATAATATCGATACCTTACATGTATCAATACATGACAATATAACTGGTTTCAATTTGACAAAACCGGTAAAGAGCTACCGGAATTGTTGACAGTATATAAACTTTTATAAGTATGTGTACCAAAATATCGACACTGTAGGAATTGAAAAGAATTAAATAATAGCGCATATAAAGTATCGATACCTTAGAAACATGTATCGCTATATGACAATATAACGTGTTGAAATTTGATAAAACTGGTAAAGCGCTACCATAATTGTTGAAAGTATCGATACTTTTATAAGTATATGTACTATAGTATCAGTACTTTATGAATTTAAAAGAAATGGAAAAAGAAAAACATTTCGAAAGTATATATACCTTACACAAAAGTATCGACACTTAGGGAATGATATCGATTAAATATAACTAGGCATAAATACCAAGTATCGATACTGTCTATATAGGTATTGACACTTTTATTTCAGTATGTTTCTCAAACAATTTGTACGCAAAATGTATCGATATATATATATATATATATATATATATATATATATATATATATATATATATATATATAAAATATCGATATTTATAATTTCGAAACCTATCACTTTAAATTAATAGGTAAATTTACAATGTAAACGGTAAAAGTCTATCGGTTTAATGATAATAGGCGTAAATTCCAAGTATCTATACTTTTTATATAGGTATCGATACTTTCAATCTAAACAACATCGATACTTTCAACACAAGTATAGATATTAAACCAATTAACCAGTTAGGTTAATAATATTTTACCGGTTACATTATTATTAACCTATAAACAAACTGATACCCATGTTCAAGTATTAGGTCGTGCTTTGTTTTTATTCGTAGGCGCATTTTTTTGTCTTAGTTATTTAAAAAAGAATCGATCCTCCATACTTGTATCAAAACGTCGCTCCCCTAAAAGGCATATATCTCTTCCACTCTGACGAATACCACCGTTCACGAAAATATCACCATTCAAGCTTCTTTAAATATTCCCTCCACTAGAGACATTTCTTGCAACTATTACGATAATATTTACAGGTAAATTTATATAGAGATTTTTCCCTAAATTAGGATTTTAGTGATTTAGGGATTTGAAAGTTTTTTTTCTTAATGTGCTTGTGTTTCATGTAACAACCTCTATATCCACTCCTAAAAATAGCTCTAAAACGTCCGATACGCAGTTCTTCTCAACCAAAAACCTTCTTCTAAATCAAGGTCTTCTTCTCATGTAAGGTCTTCTGATCAAATTAAGTCGTTTAATACAAACAACTTTAGAACCGATGAAGAGAAAGAAAAATTTTATCAGCATTTCAAAGCAATAAAGATTCGTCCCAAACGTGTTATTGAAATGGATTTCATATTCAATAAAAAATATAAATTTGATTTTAAACAGATATTTACATATTGGGGTTGGCTTGAGTTTCTTGGTGTATAACCAAAATATTTCTCAAACCATGTTCGAGTGTTCTATAATAATGTTTCATTTCACCGTGAGCCTAACAAGAATAACATCATCAGAAATAATACTCATGTAATGGGGAAAGATATACATATATATATCTCCAGATTCTATTGTTCCGGGTATAGGTGTCGAGAATAAAGGGGATTCCAATGAAATTGATTTAGATCCTATAATTAAACGTGTGGATAGAAATAGCCTCATTCACCTAGATGTGGATGCCAGAGTGTTTCACAAAATTCTCACTCGGTTTATTCGGCCTTCTGGTGGAAAATTTTCCATAATTTGATATATCGATTATTGATGGTTAGCAAAGTATAGCTCAAAAACCACTACAAACATTGCATAACTGATATTTGAGACACTTGTTAATTTAGTCAAAAAGGGTGAATCCATTACAACTTCACTATCATATGGATGTGTTATTACCCATCTATTGAAGAATAATGAAGTGGATTTTTCGCTTGAGTACCCTAGTCGCTTATCCTGGAAGATTGACATGTTATCCATGACTAAATTCGGATACAAATTTATTAAAAATGTCGGTTGGACTAAAAAATATGGCATTAGAGTAGAACAAAAGAAAGAGCAATTAGACCCCATTAACAATGACGACCAACAACCGATGGAAGACGCTCTAATGGAAGAGGCTAGGGCTGAAGAAGATACTACAATAAAGTCCGTGATGGAGTACATGGTTAATTTTCAAGAGCATTTTGATTCTCGTGTCGGGCATATTAATGAGCAATCGGGGAAATGTGGATGACGTCTCCAACTTACGTAACTAATTCCGTCAACTAAATCATACGAGTTAGGTAATTCATTCTTTATGTTTTAAGTAGTTACATGTTGTAAAAATGTATTTACTTTTCTTATAACAATGGTGGAGAAGGCGATGGACAATCAAGTGTTGAATGAAGAGGATGACAATACAGATGATGATGATGAGGCTGAAAATCCAAACAAATATATGGTGTCTGCAACACCACCGACAAGAAAACTTGTCATTTTTTATGTTAATGGAATCCTTGCGTACTTTTCAAAAAACACCAAAGGTTTTCGATTTGTTTATTTCTATACATTATTTTAACCTATAAATTTACTATTTTAATGTAATTTTCTTCATGCTGTAGATGTTATACTGAGACCATGTGTATATGAATTTTTTAATTTTTGTTTAGAAAACTTTGTTGTTGTCATTTGGTCTTCGAAGTTGAGGTAAACACTGTTAAGCTATTGAATTACTATAGAAAAATGTATAATTTACAATTGGATGTTTCTCAGGTAATTGTTAATAATTTCATGCATAACATTGATCGTGCACTTGATAAACTACCTTTATTGTCTGACCACTTTATATTCATTTGGTAAGATACATGTTTTTTACATTGCTTACTTTTATTTGTTTATGATTCCTACGAATTTATGTTAGACTATTTCTATAAACATGATTAAAGAAAGTGAAAAAATAAAATAAAATGAAGTAACATACTGTAAAGATCTGCAAGATGTCTGGAATGCGTATGCTGAATACAACCCAGAAAATACACTGTTGGTGGATGATTCAGTAGAAACAAATAATTTATAATCCAGTAAGTTACATGTTTGCCATATGTTCTTTCTGTTAAACTATATGTTGATACATTTGTTCATTCACAATTTATGTACTTATATAGCAATATAATTACATATCCACATCTCTTTGACGCTTCTTCTTTGAACGACAATGCTTTAGGTATAACATAAATTTATGTCAACTTATGCGCAATTGTTTTATTATTACATTATTGAACATATTTGGTTTGTAATTTCAATTATTTATATATGTCCTCAGTAAAAGGCGGAAACATATACGAGTATTTGGAAAATTTGTCAAATGCACCTAATGTTCTGGACTTTGTTAGAAATAACCCTTTTCTTCTGTTTAATTTCTTTGTGAGTGGACAACTAGAACATGCTTAATTTATTTATTGATGACATGATTTTTATATATAACATTGTTTTATATTGGTTTACTTATATTGTGTGTATATTTTTTATTCATACACATAATACATTATTTTCAATTTTAATGTACTCAAACATATCAAACAATAACTGTGTATTTTAATATTCCTATCCACAATACAACATGTGACTTACACAATAAAGATTCCATTATGATGGAGCATTATAAAGAACCCATTATAAGATTTGACTTTCTTGTCTTGTCTTCCACTCGCGTGACTGCTTTCTTTCTATGACTCAACTCAACTTTGAACTAATATTGCATGTGAGTCTTTCCCTGCTTTTTGGTTGTTAACACATGTTACTTGAACAATAGAAAATAATTATGCATATTCGAATTTCAATTTCAATTTGAGCTCCACTATAAATAGGAGCTTTTTTGTTTTGTTCCATTCAAATAAAAACATGCTCATTACCTCATGAGGTTCTGCTGCTGTGAGGCTCCTGCCAAATATTGTGATATATGCGAAGGTGTTGGTTGGAAAAAACTAGTTAATATATGTTGTGTTTGTAACATCAAATGTCATTTGTAAGATTCTTTTCTTATTAACTTACACAATTTTCATGTTAGCATTGATTAATCCTAATTTCTATTGCTTATTTCCTACACGAAACACTAGGTATAGCATGACCATCATCATTTTGAGGCACAGGCTAGAAGATTGGATATGTGAATAAAACCTTTCGAATTGAATACATTTCATCCAACTCATGAAGATTAGATATTTAAAATCTTG